ACTAGCGTCGTGAAGGGCGGAATCGGCCGCTCGAAGCTCGTTAGCTCACGAAAATTAACGCGTAATAATCGCTTCGTTCACGCGAACTTCTTTAATCTCCAGCACCTCGGCAACGCGAATAATCCGTCAATGATTGCACCATTATCTCCTCTGCATTCCAGCGGATTTTTTAATCTGATAAACATTAGACTCTTTCGCGATTTTATAAAGCGATCATTTTTATAAAATATATATTTTCTAGTATTATATTGTGTATATGTGTGTGTTATGTTACATATGTTTTATGAAAATTATTCCAAGACATTCTTTTCTTTGCAACTATGGAATACGGAATAAATTTTTACCGAATTTACATCTCATTTACAACACGATACTATCTAATCGCTCAAAAAATGAAGTCTTGTACTTTCCGGCATTCGTGCTTTTCTTTGTTCCTTGTATCTTGAACCATACTTTGAAATATTGCGCTTTCGCCAATACGGATACGCGAGTGCGATTTTACATGCGAGAGAGCATGGTGAAACTCGCGGAAATTCAAGCCTTGAACGAGATCGGGAATCGTCTGGCGCCCGCACGAGCGAACAGGAGCCCGCGTCCGCGTTCGAGGAAAGACCAGAAAGACGAAGAATCCAAGAAAGATATAGAGAAAGAAGCAGCAAAGAGAGAGAGAGAGAGAGAGAAGAAAAGAAGAATTCACGCGCCGGAAGAAGCGAATAATAAAAAAAATGGAAGTGAGCCACCGAACATCTCCGTGAAATGTCGGAGAGGAGTTTCTCTCTTTCTCGTATAGACCTGCCTGCTATCTCGCACGATCCTCGTTAACTTTACGAGCCGCTCGTAAAAATACCGTTCGGGGCCTGTTCTCTCGCGGCGCGCCGGTAATGTCTTCATCCCGTTGGATACGGATTCCTTAAGGCATCTCGAAATGAATATAATGTACCGTAATCGTGGTCAGCCAATTACTTAAACGCGGAGAACAATTAATTTCGTCGACTTTTTTCAAGGAGCAAACGAGCTACTCCGATTCGCGTGTCTTTGTACGAGAAAAGAATAGCCACGAGATGTGAATTATATTATATTAGTTTTACATATTCTTTTTATGAGGTAAAAATATAATTCGATTATATTGATTTTCGTATCTTTAGAAACTGAATCGCAGAGAATCGGTTCGAAAATGAATTAATGCGCGGTTTCAACGGTTAACATTTTTCAAGCATGCTGTAACAAGCTTAACATATGTCACAATCGCAATCATTTGGATAGCTGGACAGCAATTAAGGACAATGCCAGAGGTGTTCCGGCTATTTGTGCTCGTAGTTTCTATCGTATCGCTCTTCTTTGCCGTGTATAATTTCGCTAATCCTTCATTATCAATTCATAAAAAAGATCACGTCGCTCTCTGCTGAATGCGTGCATGCGACGCGTTGAATGCGCTCTTCTCGCCCCGTAACAACGTCTGTAACCACACCGGACATGCTCGCGAGTAACCTAACCTAACCGGCTAACGAAATTGGCTTCGTGCACAATTTCTTTTATTAAAAACGGCGATCCGCGCTCAAAAGTTTTACGTTTTACGCACGCACGTACGTACAACACGTGCACAGAAGCAAACCGGGAGCAAACCGAGCGAGCAGCAAATAAAGACAGAGGAGGTCAGGATAGGAAGAGATCAAGGGGAAGGGTGTAGAAGGAAAGATACGGAAGGAAAAACAGAGAGAAACTAAAAGATGAAGTGAGGGAGAGAATGAGAGACCGAGATAGCAGGTCGAGGCAAGGAATTTGCTCGCGGCGTGGATACCTATTAGATGGGTACATCGTTTATATACCCGGCACGCATTTCACCCGTGGGAGCGCACGCGATACCCTGCCGGGTTTAGCCGTCATTATTGTTATTAATAATAGTACCTAACGACCGATAATTGCTCAAGTCTGCCTGCGCCTCTGGTTTCCATTACCTCGTGGCCTCTCAACAGAATTGACGGACGATTCTCTTCGCGTTTTTTCCCCAAGACCGCGATGGCCACGACAGAAACGCGAATCACGGATGATGCATGCACATAGGCGACGTACGCGTCCTTCCACGATGAATCCACGCGTAATTGGGGTCGGAAGTTGAGTCTCTCGATGGGACCCTTTATGCTCGATGGTTGACGTTGATGTTAGCACGCGAACGTGACTTTCGTTTCTTTGCTTCTATTGTGTCATTCGCGAAAAACAAGAAAAAAACAACGATCCACGTCGATATATATACGATATGTATCTTAAACGTAAAATAGTTTTAGCTATCAAAAATAGAAATTTTATAATATAATGCATGATTGCTATTAAAGCCTATAGATCATATCAATATTTATTATATACATATAGGCTTGAAGTTTTTCCACAATCATATTATAGTATAATGTTGTATATATTAATCGTTGCTAGGTAATATTATATTAAAATTCTGTAATTAATATATGTAATTAATGTTATAATATTAGTTATGCATTATTACAATATGATAATATAATAATTGAAGAAATTCAAAAAGAAATGTTACAAAACTATATGTTGTATGGACGTAGCTGCACGATATTAAACTAAAATATTACAATTTATATATATATAATTAATATATCATGATATTAATTATATATATTATTGCAATATTATAATAATTGATATTAAAAATGAAATGTTATACAAAAACTATTTATCCTTTCTTTTTTTTCTTTGAATCTTATAGATATTGTCAAGAGAAAAAATAAAAAAATTAGCTTGTATTATTCAGAAAAAAATATATAGGATATATAAAAATAAAATTATTTTAGTTATAAACGTGTATGTGTACTTAATCTCCTTCGAAACTATTATAGTCTAATGCATTAAAACATAGTTGTTTAGAACCCTGATGATATTTTATTTGCCTTTTATCAACAACTTTTATTTCACGATGTAAAATCAATAGTGTATACATATAGTCTGTTTATACTTGTAATATGCTCATCGGACTATTGTGCATCTCAGCATTTATTCATAGATAGTAATTAATTCATTACTAATTGACCGCTGCGTTACTCATTGTCTTTCCCACGGGTTAGTAAATTATAAACTCAGTTTCTATAGAACATGACAGGTAGACATAATATACATGTTATATGCTTGCTTATGACCCCGCGCATGTATGTGTATGTATGTATATATGTATGTGTGTGTATGTGTCTGTGTGTGTGTGTGTGTGTGTTAGCGTTCTGTCTAAATATATTATAATAAATATTTCATAAAACTTTCAAAAAAAAATTATCTGGCAAACTATAATTATTATGAATTATATAGCCCAATTGATCAAAGCGTGCAATTAAACTTTTAAACAGATATTTACGACGCGCGATAATGATACTCAAAATATTTCGGATTATCGCAAGCCAACGCGATTACACACGTATGCATATAATTTTCTCGTATCACGATGTTTATTACGTAAGGTATCCTCGTATTGTCCTAATCGCTGCATCATGAATCCGCCCAGATAGAATTGATATCTGTTCGTGTATAGTAACACGCGATGTTAAGCATAATATTGCTCCGTGATTTTTGTAATATTATATTTTACCATTTACATATTTTCTTGTATTTTACTGTTACGTCACAATGTTCTTATATTTATTTAAAAATTTTGAAAATGTTTTAACACATCTTTTATATATATGAAGCATGAAGTAGTATTCGAGGCAATCAGATGTCTAAGAATGCGATAAATTATATCTAATAACACAATCACACACGGTGTATTTATAATATTGTAATTATCATTTCGTTCACATCAATCATGTCTGCGAAAGATACGTTCGGATTCCGGGGCGCGTGCATCGCGTGATTTTCGGGAATTACTGCGAGCTTCGTGATTTTTGGCGTGACCGAGCCTGCCGAATAGGATGCAAAATATAAATGCAGCATGCTGCGGCGCGCCATTTACCAGCGATTTTATCGCGGGCCAGGACTTTTACCAATGCACCGCGTCCTTGAAGCTCGTTTTATCGTATGTTCCAGGTACACTGCGCCCGCCGGGTCTGATCGGTGGCAGTAAACCAAAAGTAGCGACACCGGCTGTCGTCGCCAAGATCGAACAATATAAAAGGGAGAACCCGACCATCTTCGCTTGGGAAATTCGAGAGAGATTAATCTCGGAGGGTAAGATAATGATGTCGCTTTTTGGGCGGATCGACTCTCTTATCGTAAAATGCACCGTCTAAAAAATATAAATTAAAAATAAATTGAAATAAATCGATCATAAATAATGATCAAAAGATTAATGCGACAAAACAATAATCGTCAAGTGTAAACCCAAAGACAGATTGACTAACATTGACATTGACTATGATTTTTCGCAGAACACGCTTATTGTTAGTCATAACGTCAAGTCTTCGTCAGCGTGATGCATAAACTAGCGTGTTTCTTTTTATACTTAATTATGCTCGTCCTCTGTGAGCCATGCGAATGCAAACCATCCGTGATTACAGACACACGTATGGGTATAACATATAATTTAGAAAGAATTAAGAAACGCGTTTCTGCGACCTTATTGCTTGACATACATACTTCGTTCTTCGTGCTAACACGAATCTCATTACAATTGCCAGTAAACTTTAGGACATACATAAATGGCCTTACTGTATGCAATGCTTTCAGAAAATTCGACAATGTAATATCAGAATTTGCATTGCGCTCAAATTAACGATAATGAGGCGAAAATACGGAAAAAAAAAATATCTTAAAAACTCTACGCATTTATAATGAGATCTCTGATGGCATTCGTGTTAATGTAACCCGCGGTACTTTTACATCTGACACGACTCCCCCTTGTTGACCGAGGCATCGTCACCCGCCTTGTTCCAGGAGTTTGCAGTAACGCGACCGCACCGTCGGTCAGCAGCATCAACCGGATACTGCGGAATCGCGCGGCGGAACGCGCGGCCGCGGAATTCGCGCGGGCCGCCGGCTACGGGCTGTACGCGGCCGCCGGGCCGCATCCGTACTTCAACTCGCACCAGCATCCGACGACGAGCCATCACCTGCCGGCGGGTTGGCCGGCACCGGCGGGCGCGGCCGGCCATCCGTGGATGCTGCCGCCTCTCGCGACCGGCATATCCGGCGCGGCCGCGTCGGCGCTGCTCCTGCCGCCGTCTCTGAGCCCTGGTGCGGCCGCCGCCGCGGCCGTGGCCGCGTCCGCGTCCGCCGCGGGCACCTCCGAGCACGCGCTTCACGCCGCCGACGTGATCGCTCGAGGATACCTGCAAGGTAGGACGAAGCGGAGACAAGAAGTCACGCCGCTTTTTGCCATCTTTCGAGATCTTGACACGTTATGCGGAATTTTTCGTATCCTTTAGGAGAACGAAATGTTCTACTTGATTTTCAGGAAATATTTTGTATCATATTTTCAAAGATTTGAACGTTTGTTCGAGTAGATTAGATTTCGAATGATAAGATGCAATTAAATGCGGATTTGCATATAATCATGGTAGTAGAAATGAGAATAGTCGTTTATTATTATAATGTTTGTATACGAATTGACTTGAATTCAATATTCTATTATCGAGAATTTCTTGCTTACGGCAATTAATATTTTCGCTTTGTATAAACAAAAGATAGAAATTAAAAGTTTTCTATACATTGAGTTTTCAGAATGTCTACTATATTTTGTATTTTCTTTTTAAATTAAATTATTTTCGTATCAATAGTATATGGATATTATAGAAATGAATTTGTCTACTTCCTTAATTACGTACTTGTCATACCGTGATATATTACAAGTTTTGCTAAAATTCGGTGATAAATAAAGAATGTTTTATTTCAAACGGAGGTTGTACTCAGACATACAGCCAATAGAAAACGTGCTTTTATTAATGTGCAGACGGTGACGGGGATGACGGAAGTTTAGACGGTTCGGAGCAGCCTAAATTCCGACGCAACCGCACAACTTTCAGTCCGGAGCAGCTTGAAGAGCTCGAAAAGGAGTTCGAGAGATCGCATTATCCTTGCGTGTCCACGCGCGAGCGTCTTGCCTCGAAAACGTCACTTTCGGAAGCGCGCGTTCAGGTAAGGATCCACTACTCGTAGATATAAAAAAATAAAGGACCGACGCGACAAAACACGCAGGGTCTAATTCGATCGTTTATTGACGTTGGAGCGGACCCTGCGGAGAACGGTCGCGTCGTTCTCGAATTACCGATTATCCGACTTGATCACGAGCGTTCTAACGACCTAACTCGTGACTCTTAGGTTTGGTTTTCCAACAGACGGGCAAAGTGGCGTCGTCACCAGCGCATGAACCTCTTAAAGCGCTCGCCACCGCCTCCACCGCCACCGCCGCAGCCGCAGCCGCAGCAGCAACCGCACTCCGCTACGTCCGCTATGGAAATCGGCCAGCGTACATCCGGTTGCTCCATCGCCGGCATGGGCGGCGAAAGTAGCGCATTCCGCGCGGTCGTCGCCAATTCCGCGACTAGGGACGCAAATCTCGACAGATCCGAGAGGATCGATAGGCTGGAATCGATAGCGAAGCAACCGGAGAGGAAACCCAGCGCCTTCCGCATGATCAGTCAGCTAGTGGGCGACGATTCGTCCGGACTCTCGAGACCAGCCAGTCCTGTATACGAACGACATGGATCCGGATTTGGTCCGAGACCGGGATCGGCGCACAGGATACGCTACGATCAGAATGAGGACGAGGACGAGGAGATCGACGTACAGGATTCCGATCAGGATGCACCGTCGTCGCCGCCGGTCGCATGGAGGGATCACTGGACTGACCAACAACCGTTGGAATTGACGAAGCACGATCGTTAAATGAGATGTGATACATCAGTTCGGTCTCGATCGACATGGCCATCAAATCTGAAGTGACATTTTTCAACGAGATCGGAATATCTATCGTACGGTTGCATGTTGCTATTTATTTATGTATCTCAATCGGATAAATCGCGCAAATATGTAATTTTATCAGTGCTCGAAGTGATCGATAAGTGCAAAGGTGAAAAAAATATTCTTTCGCTCTATGGTGCTCGGATTATACTAAGATTAGCTAATCGTGAGATGTGTGTTTGTCGATCCGAAACATCGATAGTATACGCGTGGTAGATCGATAACGTGCTGCATCGGCAATGAACTGAATCATGGCGATTATCGTCGTGTAATATCAGATGCAACAACGTATACTTATTATATTCTCTCATCCTTCTTTAGCCCGATAACGGGCTCGGCTCTTCTCTATCAGTTGAAATCTTTAACACCTATGGAACTACTTATTACAAACACGGACGATTTCTTACAATTACAATTGCGAATATATAATTACTGCGATCTGTATAATATCAAAAGGCAACATTATCAGTGTCACTGTAATTATTATTGTAGATTACGTAGGCAAACCATGCATATCGCGTGGCAAAAGCAAACGCTATTAATTCGCTCAAACCTGCCTGTGGAGCCGCTCGTGTGAATCGAGAATAAAATGGTATTACGAGCAAAGAGTGAGATCGTTCGAGCTCATTCGAAACTAGTCCTAGCGAATCATTATGAATTAAAGGTGTGCGTTATCTAAATATTTGAAATAGACGTAAGTGAAAACACAGATAATCCTGTATGAAATATCTGTTAAAGTAACGTTTATTTAAATGAATCCTTTATTTTGTAAATATTTACATACATATATCTGGCGTCACACAAATAATTTTCCTTTGCAAAAACTCTTACAAAAATTTCCTTTCCAACTATTCCCTAAAACAATGTTCGGCTACCCATCGAATATATTCGCACAATATAATATATTATATTGAAATAAATTTACATAAATATCTCCGATGATCTCATCTGTCGAATCAATTTCCTTCCGATCCTAAATTATAAATACTGATAAAAAAAAAAAAAAAAAAAAAAAAAATTAAATTTAAAAATTTCATCGATGAGCAGTTATATCAGCATTGTCTGTAGTATAAAATCAAAGTAATAAATAAA